TACATTTATAGCATAAACTTATAATTTTGACCTAATATTTTTCAGTATGTGTACTAAAATATAAAATATCAAAAACAATAAAGTAATTAAAGTCATAATTCATATATGACATGATCGGTTTGTCATTGTAATTAGCATTTAGAAATGAACCTTCATTAGAGAATTAAGCAATTTTAAAGAATTTCAATCAAAACAAAAATTTGTATTAGTCTTCTGTACGATTCCTTTGTATTTACTGTATTGCAAGTTCATATATAAAAATCTATTACAGTTATTTCTATAATAATACTCTGAGTATATTTATTTAGCTCTTTCAACTGCAGTTTTATTCTGTAAAATGTTTTCTCAGAACAAAGTTTCTTTATATATAAGATAAATAAAAAAAGAAATCCCTTGTGACATTTTTATCGAAAGAAAAGACTTTGCACACATTGTAAATATCCTTCTCTAAAACAAACTTTGTATATAAAATATACCTTTTTATTCGTGAAAACTTTAAATATTTTGTAGATATCTATGATAATTTTGGACCTAAAATATCGTCGGATAAAAGACAGAAAGATGCAAAAAAGAAGTAAAACTTATTTGCTACTGTACAAGATGGCATTTAAGTATAAATAAATACATTATGTAACAATTTTGAATAATGTTTATTAGTAATATAATAGTAACACTCGTGATGTACACATTTATTAGTGTCGACCATCATACACATTTATATAATGATAAATCATAAATTATATATTCATAATAGCGTTAAAAATATGTATAATATTTAAAAATAATAATGTAATTAGAGTCATACTTGAAATATGACATGATCGGTTTGTCATTGTAATTAGCATTTAGAAATGAACCTTCATTAGAGAAATGAAGTAATTGCTGCTTTATGCCTTTATATTTTTATCTAAAAATATCCGAAAGTATTTTATTTCTATTTCTGTTTATTGTTGCCATCCGGAAAGAAAATCCTTTTGAAAATATCCTTTTCCAATAAAAATAGAAAAAATATTTCTTTTACGTTTTCTATCCATATAATGTCGACAATTGTTATTGGTTAGACAGGGAGCATACGACCTAATGAAAAAATCTTATTAAAAATTTGCAAAATGGAAATAATCACACCGAATTATTAAAAAACTAGTGGTGTATGGCATCGTGCCTTAAGGCAAATTGCTGTAACTTCCCGTGCCGTAATGAAATATTCGAGAAATTTTAAACGTTTTCAATTATATTATTACAAATACTGTAACTTTCATTATTATTGTTATCTTAATATATCTGAAAAAAAAATAGTTGTCTGATTTACACAAAATTGAAAAAGTGCTCCCGTATAGTCACAGTCTAAACACATTTGCAAATAATTCTGTGCGGCATTTTCACTTATACTGTGCTTAGCTTGGCGGCATTTTCACATTTTTCAATAGTTTTTCACAAAATTGGAAAAGTGCTCCAGTACATAAACAGTCTAAACGCACTTGGGTGAACATTTGTACCAGAGTGGCGCTTAGACTGTGCTTAGGCTGGGTAATTTTTTGAATTTTTAATCCAAAATTACAAAAATATTTTATGGAAAATAAAAAAAAAAATGTAATATTTTTTTATTCTCAAAAGCAATTGTTTTGTCAATACGAACAGAAAGTTTTTTAGATCATTCTAATCAGACGCTCAATTCTCTCAAAAACTGTCATTTTTCGCACATTTAGCTCTGTATCTTCGAAATGGCGGGACCTGCCTTTGCCAAAAATTAATCAGCACATCTTCCTATCAATAGTAATCGAATGTTTTTTAACTTCCCGTAGGGTAAGTTATAGTAATCGCAAAAAAATCGAAAATGAAAATTTTTGTAGATCTTTACGTTTCAAAACCTTCTGAACATTTTGGCATACCTTAGAAAAATGGATGTATATGTGTGTGTGTGTGTGCGTGTATGTATGTATGTTCGGATACAAATTTTCGTCGACGATTTCGGGAGCACGTATCAACCGATTTGAATATTTAAAAAACATTCGATTCGTATTGATAAGGAGACGTGCTGATTAGTTTTTGGCGGAAGCAGTGTGCAGCCGTTGCGAAGATTAGGGCAAAAAGTGCCAAAAACGCTAACTCTGTTTTTAAGAGAACGGAGCGTCCGATTTGAATAATTCAAAAAACAAACATAATTTTACTTGTATTAACAATATGAAGAGCTGATCAAATTTTCATGAAGGCAGGTCTAGCAGTTTCGGAGATCTAGTAAAGAAAGTAAAACAAAATGCCATTTGGCGGTTAAAAACGATCAGTAGACACGTGCACATCAAATTATCAGATATTTTATAGAGATTTTAACAATAAGTATAAATTTTGTTTACATTTCTATGGGTTCCGTACCAGTGTTTATCCGTCAGACGGCGACGCAGCGCTTACGCGCTTCGATATTACGTCTCTATGCAATTAAAGCAGTACGATTGCTTTGAAAAAAAGTTCAGAATTTCCAAAATATTACAAAATACACTTTGCTTCAAAAAGTCTTTTTTTTTTAAAAAAGTAAATTTTTGTCAAAAGTTTATAGTTTCTCAAAAATCTAATTTTTTCAGAGCAAATTTTTTTCAGAAATGTTTATCTTTTTAAAAATAAATAATTTTTGGTACGGGAAGTTCCTGCAATTTGCCTTAAGGCACGATGCCATGCGCCCCACTAGTTTATATTTTGAAATGGTACGTAATAACTTGTACTTGAAGATGCAAAGCCAAAATCTTTTTCACTCACTATTTTTTCCCCCAGATCTCTGTCTATTATGTGAAATCGTATCCTTTTGAACATGTCGTGTGGGATATCCTGAATTTCCGATAAAATAAACATTAACAGTGTTATCAAGGACCTAATCCGGTGGAGAGATCTCTCTAAAAGCCATTTAGGTCGTATGCAGATTTGGAAATAGGTTTTTGCCCTATTTTTTGTCACGAGAAACCCAATTTTGTACTAAATATAAATGGATATATATATATATATATATGTATATATATATATATATATATATATATATTTATAATTTTTTATGAAGTAAAAATTTCAAAAAGTTGAAAAACAGAACATGATTTCATTCTCTCTCATTTGAATATGAAAACATTCGAATAAAAATACGAATGAATAATAATTGACAGAATAAATATTTCGAAATGTGAAAACAAAAATGTTATTTCTGCATTTGTAAATTTGTATCGTTTTATTTTTGAATAAATAAAATAATGATTCCCATTTTAAAATAAATACTAGTGGTGTATGGCATCGTGCCTTAAGGCAAATTACTGGAACTTCCCGTACCGTAATAAAATATTCGAGAAATTTTAAACGTTTTCAAATATATTATTACAAATACAGTAACTTTCATTATTTTTGCTATCTTATTTTTATATCAGATCAAATCAAATGTAAATCATAAATCAATTTAGTTCAATCTCCAGAACATTAACAATCGTCATTTCATTTCGAATTAAATTAAAAAAAAATAGTTGCCTAATTACACAAAATTGAAAAAGTGCTCCCGTATAGTCACAGTCTAAGCGCATTTGCAAATAATTCTTAACGTGCAACATTTTCACTTATACTGTGCTTAGCTTGGCGGCATTTTCACATTTTTCAATAGTTATCACAAAATTAGTAAAAGTGCCCAAACAATGGTATTCTTAGTGAAAAAACATTTTGGAGTAATAATTTAAAATGACATTTTTTCAGAGTTGTATTTATAACTTATTTTAGAGTCAGAATAGAAATTTTTGTTCTTAGATTTGTAAAATCTACACAAATTTATTATTAAATAGTGTAAATCAAAATTTTGTAAAATCTTTTATAAATATACTAAAAGTACACTAACAAGGCATTCTTGGTAAAAACGTTTTGGAGTAATAAAATAAAATGACATTTTTTTCAGTTTTGTATTTATAACTTTTTCTTAAAGTTGAAATAATTTTTTTTTTTATGTAAAAAAAAGGTAAATTTTGCTATTAAATAATTAAACCCAAAATTAAATTGAATAATAATTCATATTTTAAAATAAATATAAATAACGCAGAAAAATAACAGTTTGCTTATTGATTATTTAAGTACATTTTTTCAGTTAGGTATTTATAACTTTTTTTAGGGTCAAAGTAGAAATTTTTGTGCTTTGACTTGTAAAATCTACATACATTTTTTTTATTAAAAAAAATATACACAATTTTGCAAAATACTTGATAATTTATCTAAAAGTGCTCAAATAATGGTATTCTTAGTGAAAACGTTTTGGAGTAATAAAATAAAATCACATTTTTTCTGTTTTTTTTTATTTATAACTTTTCTTAAAGATATAAATAAGATAAGATATAAATAAGATAGAATAAAAATTTTGGTTTATTTTATGTAAAATCTAGGTAAATTTTGCTAATAAATAGTCAAACATAAAACTGTACAAATTTTCTGATAATTATTCTAAAAATGTCCAAACTTGTCATTTTTGGTAAAAACAATTTGGAGTATGAAAATAAAATGTTATTTTTTCAGTTTGTATTTATAACTTTTTTTAGAGTCGATATAGAAATTTTAGTTCAAATTATATAAAATGTAGATAAAATTTGCTATCCAATAGTTTTAATAAAAATTTTGCAAAAATTTTGTTTAATGTGCTAAGAATGCTCAAACGAGGTATTTGAAAAAAAAACAAACATTTTCAAGTAAGAAAATACAAAAACACTTTTTGTCAGTTTTGTACTCATAACTTTTTATAAAATCGAGATAGAATTTTGGGTTCTTAGACTTATGAAAACTAGATAAAATTTGCTATCAAACTGTATAAACCAAATTTTGCAAAAAATATATACGTATTTATATACTTGACACAAACTGTTACATTATACATATACTCCATAATCAAAGACATCTGTCCCCTTGGCCTATAATCTTTTATCCAAGCTCGTTTTTCAAAATTATTTCGCACAAACCTATTCTTTACACATTAAACAATATTTCTTACTACTTTTTTTCAGAATGAGACCCTAGAATTAGGCCCAAAACCCAATTATTTCGACGACAAGGTCTGGACTTTGGTTCCGGGGGTTGTTTACGATTCTGCAGAAATGGGCAAAGATTTCGGAGACTGCAAACGTCAGCCTAAAGAGACTTACAACAGGGCGAGACTGCCAGTGCAGTATTTGTAAGTAATACATGATACATGATTTAATTACGTATTTTTTGGTGAAAGTTTGAGGGTTGTAGGTTTATTAGTTTAGGAGATATTTAGGAAACAGTGCGCTGAGTAACTTTTTTTTAATGAACGTCAGCCTAAGGACTGAAGACTTACTAAAGGCGTAAGTCTTTAAGTGCACAATTTGTAAGTACTAGAATTGATTTATAAATTAATTGTGTATTTTTTGGTGAAAGTTTGAGGGTTGTAGGTTTATTAGTTTGCGAGATATTTGGGAAATTGTGGAAAAATACGCGGGGGTAAAATTTTTTTTTTAATAATAGTCAGCCTAAGGACTGAAGACTTACTACAGACGTAAGTCTTTTAGTGCACAATTTGTAAGTACTAGAATTGATTTATAAATTAATTGTGTATTTTTTGGTGAAAGTTTGAGGGTTGTAGGTTTATTGGTTTAGGAGATATTTGGGAAACTGTGAAAATATGCACGGAATGTAATTCAGTGTTTTTATGTTGACGATTTTTTCGCATTTTTTGGAATTTTTTCAAAATATTTTTAATATAAAAGCTTCAATTATTTTAAAAAATATTATTCAATACATTTTGTTGTATTATACATACTTTGTATATAAAATTTCGTTCAAATTTTGGAAAATTTTTGCAAGATCTAAAGTTTTAAAATTTGTAAATATTTTTATATTAAATTTAATGTTTTATATATGTATATTATATATTTTATATTTTTTCTCATTTTTTGGAAATTTTTGAAAATATTTTTAATATAAAAGCTTCAATTAAATTTAAAATTAGTATTTTATATTTTTTTGTCAAATTCTACATATTTTGTACTAAAAATTTAAATTGAAATTTTAAAAATTATAAACTCTAATTTGCAAAACTAGAGGTTACAAAATTTGTAAATATTTTTACATTGAATATAATGTTTTATATATGTATATTATATATTCTATATTTTTTCGCATTTTTTGGAAATTTTTAAAAATATTTTTAATATAAAAGCTTTAATTAATTTTAAAATTATTGTATATTAATTTCTGTCAAATTCTACATATTTTGTACTAAAAATTTTTATTTAAATTTTAAAAATTTTGCAAAATCTAAGGTTCCAAAATTTGTAAACATTTATATATAAAATATAATGTTTATATATATATATATATATATATATATATATATATTTTATATTATTTTTCCAGAAAGTTTTGACAAATACGACTAGATTACTACATAAGTCTTTCAAAAAAAGTTTTATCAACACAAAAAAACTTTCCAAAAAGTATATTTTCTTTTAAAACTTTTACAAATAAAGATATTTTGTCAAGACGTCTAAAATCTTAAAGAAATATATTTTCCAAGTCGAGACAAGGATAATCTCTAAAAAGATTTATTATACAAATTTATGAACAAAAAATCTAGGATTTGTAGGATTTACTTGAACACTGAGGGTTTAGAGTATAGGGTTGTGTCTAAAAATTCGATTAAAATTAATAAATGTCGATTTTATAATAATAATATTTTGTAAAGACATCAGAAATCCTAAATAATCTCAAAGATAATCTCTAAAAAAGATTTATTATACAAATTTATGAAAAAAAATCTAGGATTTGCAGGATTTACTCAAACACTGAGGGTTTAAAGTACGGAGTGGTATCAAAAAATTTGATTAAAATTGATAAATGTCGATTTTATATGGATGGAACCAAATTGATGCAACCGTAGGAAAAAGTGAATAAATATCAGTTTTATTTGTTTTTATTCGAAAAATTTGCACAACTGTTCATAATTGTATTATATAATCATCTACTATATATGTATTATTTATTGTCCATTAATTTTAAACAAATTTTCATAGAAATTTTAACATTTTCTTGAACACTGAAGGTTCAAAACAATATTACTCTAAATAATTTTTCTAACAATTTTTTCTGGTGCAAATAATGGGTTTTTCGACTATTTTTCCCAGATTTTTATTTTTTTAAAAATATGTTTATATATTTCTGATTCTATTATTTTTATTTCAGGTTTCAGGAAATCCAAGAAACGATCGTTTACATGGAAAAACTTTCCTGAAAGTTGAAAGACAAGTCGAAAATGGTGGTTGGGAAACTGTTTATACAGATGCTCATTGGGATACAAAGTTAGTATAAAAAAAATTAATATAATATATAAATTTATTAAAAATATTAAATATAAACTTGTTAAATGATGTATTTGATAGTTTTTAAAAGTTTGTGGTGATTTGAATTATTTAAATCGGATAAATAGAACAAGTTTTATGGTAAGGATATGAAAAAAGCTTATTTGCAAAAGCTGGTTTTCCAAAACTGTTAATTTTATAAATTGCAATTTTGATAAAATATAGTTCCAACCTTCTACTATAGTTTGGCGTAACTAGAAAAAAATATTTACTAATTAAATTTTAGGAAAAAATGCCTTTGAACAAATGAAGTGCGCAGTGAGCAAATTTATAACTACGGTTTGAGAAAAAATTTTTTTTACAAAAACTAGAAGTTGCACAAAGCTTATTTTTGGATATATGATTTATATAAACTTGTACTATATTTTGGTATATTTGAAAAAAACTATTTTGAACAAAATTTTAAAAATTATTTACTTTATAGTTCTTTAGAGAAGTTCATATAAGAACTAAATAACTCAACTAAAAAACTCTAAAAGCAATTTTTTTAAAACTAATAATTTCTAAAACTTGTAATTTATATATAAAATAATAACAACCTTCTGCTTCATTTTGGTATATTTAAAATATTTAGTTACTTACAAAAATTAAAAGTTATTAAATTCTAAACTAATCAAGTCATCACGATATGAACAAAATTTTTTATTAACATATAATTTAATTATATAGAATTATTATTTTTAATTAAAAACTAAAATTCGTAAAAAGCTGTTTTTTAGATATATGATAATTACAATTTTCTAATTTTGATATATTTTAAATAATTTAGTTTTGAATAGTTTCTAAGAATTTTAAAGTACTAAAAACTTAAACAAGTTAGAGTTCCAAAATGTGTATATATATAGTTCATATATAGCACAAATATTTTTAAGTTTCTATTGCAATTTTTGAGTATATGGAATTGCTCTAGAGCATTATAATATTAGACAATATTATAGATTATTGAATTTTAAACAAACTTACCAAATACACCATTCAGTTTAAACAAATATTTTAGAAGATATGAATTTTTTCCGACAACATGTACTTTTGCTATATGAATATGGGGAATATAGCGACCAAATTATCTATTGCAATTTTTAAGTATACTAAATTTTTCTAGGGCATTATAATGTTAGACAATATTATACATTATTGAATTTTAAACAAATTTGCCGAATACACGATTCAGTTTAAACAAATATGTTAGAAGATATATATTTTTTTCCGACGACATGTATCTTTGCTATATGAACATAGGGAATATAGGGACCAAATTTTCTATTGCAATTTTTAAGTATACTGAGTTGCTCTAGAGCTTTATAATATTAGACAATATTTTATACTATTCAATTTTAACAAATTTGCCAAATACACTTTTTAGTTTAAACAAATATTCTAGAAGATATAAATTATTTTCCCAAAAAAGGTACGTGTAGTTTGTAGCGCGTAGGAACTAATTGACCGAAATAATTGCATTAGTATAATATATTGTTTATTAGGTTTTATTAAGTTTATAAGTATACCGAGCTGTTGTAGGGCATTATGATGTTAGACAATATTGTATATTATTTAATTTTAAACAAATTTGCCATATACACCATTCAATTCAAACAAATATTTTAGAAGTTATAAATTATTTTCCATCAAAATTCATATATTTTTTTCTATTTTCCAGGATGCACTGGAGAAGGATAAATCTGATTACAGGAACAAGTGACGTCACTGTCGAATGGACAATTTCTGATGACGTCACACCAGGAACATATCGTATCAAACATTTTGGAAACTTTAAATTTTTATTAGGAGGAATTTTCCCATACGAAGGAACCAGTAACGCTTTCCAAGTTTTGTAAAAAAAATCATAAAATTAAAATTTGACTGATGTAAAATGAATGAAATTTTAAAGGATTTTTGTATATATTTTCAATAATATAAGCATGATAAATGATAATTGATGTATTTTTATTTATATATATATATATATATATATATATATATATATATATATATACGGGTACAGAAAAGTAAAAAGTTTTTGGAACAAGTGTATGTGTTTGGTAAATTGTTTATAACTACTAAAATATTAACGGAATATAAATAGCATATTTGGCAAATTTGTTTAAAATTGAATAATCTACAATATTGTCTAACATTATAACGCTCTAGAACAATTCAGTATATTTAAAAATTGCAATAGAAAATTTGGTCCCTATATTCCCCATGTTCATATAGCAAAGGTACATTTTGTCGGAAAAAAATTCATATTTTCTAAAATATTTGTTTAAACTGAATGGTGTTTTTGGTAAATTTGTTTAGAATTCAATAATCTACAATATTGTCTAACATTATAACGCTCTAGAACAACTCAGTATATTTAAAAATTGCAATGGAAAATTTGGTCCCTATATTCCCTATAGCAAAGGTACATTTGTCGAAAAAAATTCATATCTCCTAAACTATTTGTTTAAACTAAATCATGTATTTGGCAAATTTGTTTAGAATTGAATAATCTACAATATTGTCTAACATCATAATGCCCTACAACAACTCGGAATACTTATAAACTTAATAAAACCAAATAAATAATATCTTTTACTGATTACTGACAATTATTTCGGTCAATTAGTTCCCCGTATAGTGCTGTCAATTAACTCTGTTTTCGACATGAAATCGACCTCAACAAATAGGTATGTGCACACGGCAATAAATTCCGGGAATATCGATAATATTATAATTATATTATAATTAAATTCTGATACATGAGTGTGCAAGCCTCATTAGATGTCGAATTCAACGTGAATTAATGGAAATAATAGTCGGAGAGCTTCGGGGTTTGAGTAATAACTCACAAATTTTATATGAAAGCACTATTTTTTAAGTTAGATAGGGTGAAACTAGATAAAATTTCCCAGGAAATACTTTTATATAGTCCGATATAATAGTTTTGAATAAAACGACTTTGAATTTTATATTTCATTCGTAAGCACAAGTATATATTTAACAAACTTATTATTAGATTTTTTATATGTGAATATGCAAATTCATGTTGCATTCTTAGTGAACGAATTAAAACAACAAATCGCGATTAACAGTTCGATGGCAAATTGAAAGTATTATATGAACGACTTTTTGAATTTCTAAAATATCTCAAAGCGTTCTCGAGATATTGCATTTTTAAACATTTCGATTTCGCAGGATCCATATTGATTTTTACAACTTATAAAATTTGCAAAGTGTAAAAATGCAATTTTGTAAAAACTATTGCAGATATTTTGGTGATTCAAAAAGTTGTTCTAAAAGCATTTTTTAATTTGCCATCGAATAGTAATACTCCTGATTTCCAATTTTTACTAATTTATCAAGAATATACATTATGCATAAATAAATATTCAGAATTTGGAAAAATAGTTAACAATGGAAGTTGATAGTAGGTATTTTTATAGTTAATTAATTTATTTTTAAGATTATTTTTCATTATTTTTCATTACCAATTGTGTTATTTGATGCTTTCTATATGAGTATGCAAATTAATGTTGCATTCTCAGTGAACGAGTTAAAACAACAAATCAAGATTAACACAGTTCGATGGCAAATTGAACGTATTATATAACGGACTTTTTTAATTTCCAAAATATCTCAAAGCGTTCTCAAGATATTGCATTTTTAAACATTTCGATTTTGCAAGATCCATATTGATTTTTTACAATTTATAAAATTTGCAAAGTGCAAAAATGCAATTTTATAAAAACTATTGCGGATATTTTGGTGATTCAAAAAGTTGTTCTAAGAACATTTTTAATTTGCCATCGAATAGTAATACTCTTGATTTTGAATTTTCAATAGTTCATCAAGAATATATGAATAAATCTTTAGGATTTGAAGAAATAGTTATCAATGAAAGTCGATATGTATCTTTATAGTTAATTAATATATTTTTAAAGTTATTTTTCATTACCAATTGTGTTATTTGATGCTATCTATATGAGTATGCAAATTTAAGTTGCATTCTCAGTGAACGAGTTATTACAGCAAATCGTAATTAACACAGTTCGATGGCAAATTGAAAGTATTATATAAGCGACTTTTTGAATTTCTAAAATATCTCAAAACGTTCTCGAGATATTGCATTTTTAAATATTTAGATTTTGAAGGATTCATATTGATTTTTTTAGGTTCCATAAAAAACATACTGATTTATACGTTTGTGTAATACTTCACAATTTCTATTCTAACTTCTGAACCGTTTGATATAAATAAATCAAATATTCAGCAAATTTGTTCAAAATTAAATAATCTACAATATTGTCTAACATCATAATGCCATATAACAATTATCTCACCAGCCCTCGCACTAAAACCGCACTCGTATGAATTTCGTATACGAGTCGTGTAACATTTCGAACATAACACATATTGATTGAGGCATATTCAACAAATAATTATTTTCTATGAAGAAAATTATACATATAAACAAAAATTTTGTTTTGAAACAATATAGGTAATTTAATTTGAAATAATTTTTGAAAAAATTAGTGGACAATATTAACGAGTGGAATGGATTTATGTAAAAATTTATGTAAAAATTACGTAATGGGTAAAAGAGCTATTTGTTTATAAAGGAAAATTAAATTTACATATTGTTACCAATTACATATATTGATTAATAGTTTTATTTGGCAAATCAAATATTGCTTTATCATTTGAATTTTTTTTACACAGTTTCATATATATTTTTAGAGTCATTTGCAAATTGAATTACAAACTTGATGAATATTTTGATTATTTCTATCCATTTGTGTTATTTTTAAGGTGTCTGGGTACAATTTGTGCCAAAATCAGATCATGATATGTTCTAATAATAAATTCAACAAAGAGATGACATTTGACAATATGAGATTTAGTGCAAGATTTTTGGAAATTTGCCAAAAATAATGATAAATCTATAATATGAGCATGTGCACATTGATAATATATTTGAATTTCATGTCAGAATTGAACTTAGATTTGATTTATGTGAAAATGTAACTAAGGTTAAAAAAATCTATATTATTTAAATTTTTAATTTGTTCGGTTAACATGGTCTTAAATTGTTTAGGATTTTTTGAGTAATTTTTATGCTGATGAAGAAGTTATATATTCATACAGATTCTATATGAATTCTAAATTTATAAGTGAGAAAATATATCGATTGAACTGTTTATTCCTTTAAATAAATTATAAGACAATTTACTAATTGAGAAAATCGTTTCTTTGAAAATGGTTTGTTTGAAGTCGTCGAGTAAATTATTGATCGATTTTAATTGAAGAAACCTCTAAAGGACATTTAATTACTAATACGTTTATAATGAGGGTTCATAAGCAAATACAACCCTGTATGAATAAATACATACATATATATATATATATATATATATATATATATATATATAAATAAATACTAGCAATTCATCAACCCCTATAGTGAAAATATTTGTTTGAACATTCATAACTTTTAAACCGTTTATCAAATATAAATAGTATGTTTTACAAATTTATGCAAAATTAAATAGGTTTTAAAGTTTTCTAATATTATATGACCCTACAGCAACTCGGTTTACTTTAAAATTAAGATTGAAAATAGAAAATATATCTGTGCTATTTTTTGCATGTATCTGCGCTTTTGTTTATGATTTTTTTTGTAAATTTTAAAATTTTTCGTCAGAAGTAAATAAAATATTTGACAAATTTGTTCTAAATTTTGCAATAAATATTTATGTCTAATATGAAATAAACCTTAAGCAACTCGGTGTACTTTAAAATTAAAATTAAAAATAGAGAATCTTTCTGTAATTTTTTTTGCATGTATCTGTGCTTTTATTTATGATTTTTTCGGTAGCTTTTAAAGTATTTGTCAAAAGTAAATGAAATATTTGACAAATTTGTACTAAATTGTGCAATAAATATTTGTGTCTATTACAAAATAAACCTAAAGCAACTCGGTATACTTTAAAAATGATATTGAAAATAGAAATATCTGAGCTTTTTTTGCATGTATCTGTGCTTTTGTTTATGATTTTTCTTGTAAATTTTAAAATATTTGTCAAAATTAAATGAAATATTTGACAAATTTGTACTAAATTGCACAATAAATATTTATGTCTAATATGAAATGAACCTAGAGCAACTCGGTATACTTTAAAACTGATTTTGAAAATGAAAATATCTGAGCTTTTTTTTGCATGTATCTGTGCATTTGTTTAGTATTTTCTTGTAACTTTTAAAATATTTGTCAGAAGTAAATGAAATATTTGACAAATTTATACTGAATGGTGTAATAAATATGTATGTCTAATATGAAATAAACCTAGAGCAACTCGGTATACTTTAAAACTGATATTGAAAATAGAAAAAATATCTGAGCTCTTTCTTGCACTAATATGTGCTTTTATTTATGATTTTTCTTGTAACTTAAAATATTAGTCAAAAGTAAATGAAATATTTGATAAATTTATACTAAATTGTGCAATAAATATTTATGTCTAACATAAAATAAACCTAGAGCAACTCGGTATACTTTAAAATTAAGATTGAAAATAGAAAAAATATCTGAGCTCTTTCTTGCACTAATATGTGCTTTTATTTATGATTTTTCTTGTAACTTTTAAAATATTAGTCAAAAGTAAATGAAATATTTGACAAATTTATACTAAATTGTACAATAAATATTTATGTTTAACATAAAATACACCTAAAACAACTCGGTGTACATAAATATTGCATTTGAAACCAAACGTTTAATTCTTTCTTCTATTTCTGGTACAATACCAA